TGTGAGGTTAAAAAATTAATATGTACAGTAGAGGTCTGTGAGGTTAAATAATTAACATGTACAGTAGAGGTCTGTGAGGTTAAATACTTAACATGTACAGTAGAGGTTTGTGAGGTTAAATAATTGATATGTACAGTAGAGGTCTGTGAGGTTAACTAATTAATATGTACAGTAGAGATTTGTGAGGTTAAACAATTAATACGTACAGTAGAGGCTTGTGAGGTTAAATAATTAATATGTACAGTAGAGGTCTGTGAGGTTAAATAATTAATATGTACAGTAGAGGTTTGTGAGGTTAAATAATTAACATGTACAGTAGAGGTCTGGGATGTTAAGTAATTAACACGTACAGTAGAGGTCTTTGACTGATAGCTACTCTACTATCATATAACTGATCTAGTGGTTGAATGACAGATATTCTGCTTTTCTACAATTTTTCTAATGCAACAAAATGTTCTATCACTAAGTCTAAGCTGGTTTTGACTCAATGTCATAATTATTACTTACAGTTTTCACAAATCTCAGGGGTGACTCTGGTTACATCTTGAAGAAGCCTAGAATTAACGTTTCATACACTGTAGTACGAAATTGACGTAACATACACTGTAGTACAAATTAGCGTAACATATACCGTTGTACAAAATTAGTGTAACACACTGTAGTAGAAAATTAGCGTTATATACACTGTTGTACAAAATGATTAAACTGATAGGGCTAGAATAAATTAATTAAAACAGGCATACATTTAAATATATGTGGGTTTTATGTTCTACTTTATTACCATTATAAAGCTACATCTATAGACAGGTTGAGTACGTTATATTATTTAAAACGAATTTGGAGCCTCACCACGTCATTACAGTCCATGTTGCCACGTCCGGTCATGCTCTTTGTCACGACTTTGCATCTTGAAAAATGCTCTGCAAACAGCACCACTGTAAGGTTGTCATGTCCAAAGCATACCACTCCTTCCCGCAAGCTTTCATAAACCTCTAGTGTATTTTTCTCTTCCCCAAAGATTGTTTATACAGTTCAATGACATAAAAGACCATAGACGTTGCGTCCAATGACTTCATAAGAAATAGCATGAATATTTCTTTTATTCTCCAGCTGCTTGAGATATGCGATGGTTAATGACGTAGTATTGCTAAAAGCCATATCTTAGTGAACCAATACCCTATTTGTCTCATTTCAAAACGAGATCCTTCTTGATTATGTTGCGTACTTTTCCATTGGATTGTGAAAAGCTTTAGCCACTGACCTTTGTGTTCGTGGATTTTCACCTGTTACAAGTTGTCACAGTTTGCTTGACGACATCTGGGGTACAACTTATTGCAAGTCTCTTTCTGGATAGTCCTAGTACCCCAAGTTGATCCACATTCCCTTGTTTTCCAATGCCGATAAGAACAAAGGATATTCTTATTCCTCGACCTCAACACGTTTCTATGATCTAACTGTTACTTCCAGCAGCATCACACAACATCAAAATGTAGTTCTCATAAATGGACTTTATATCGACTGTGGTTGTCAAGTGACTTGTGGATTTTCATAATTAAAATCGTTTTAATATCACGCACTTAACCCTCTGTGTATGTTTATAAATATACTTACTTTACACAGTTTCTTTTTACAGAAGTAATTAATAAAAGAAGCCACAGTTAGTTGTCATTTTAATTTCAAAAATTTAACCTAAAAACTTCTAACGTAAATGCTAATTACTTAACCTCAGAAACTTCTACTATACATGTTAATTACTTAACATCACTATAACTGATCTAGTGGAGCTACTCTGCTATCAAACTGATCTAGTGGTTGATGATATATGATAGCAGAGTAGTCTCACTCAACCACTAGATCAGTTATATGATAGTAGAGTAGCTATCAGTCAACCACTAGATCAGTTATATGATAGCAGAGTATTGACTGATAGCTATAACTGATCTAGTGGTGATAGCAGAGTAGCTATCACTCAACCACTAGATCAGTTATATGATAGCAGCGTATCTGTCATTCAACCACTAGATCAGTTATATGATAGCAGCGTATCTGTCATTCAACCACTAGATCAGTTATATGATAGCAGCGTATCTGTCATTCAA